TGAAATGGCTGCATGTTTGACCACTTCATCCTCCAATAATAAATTGGTTGTAATAACCATTCAATTAATTATAACCATTTTTTTGGTTGTTTTAACCTCGCTTTAGAGTGTATACTCGAAGTTTTATTTCCAAAATCTTAGCGAAACCTACAAACTTTTAGCAAAATATATTTACTACATACATTTCCTTATTTATAGTAAAGGTAGATAGCCTGGGTTACCTGTGAAGACAGGGGATTAGAAAGCACATTTCCAACGCACTTTCGAAGTAAACAAAACACTTTCTACAACAAGATTGTCTTCGACATTCCTTTAGTTCCTTGTCATGATGGTGTCTGCGTCTGAACCAAACAAGATCCCCATTGACAGAGGCCGCATTGTATACTGGGTACTAGTCCATTTTGTGGCTGAGGAATAAGGAAAAAACAAAAAACAAAACACACACACACACACAAAAGGCATTTTACGACTGAGCTACCACAGGTATACCAGTAATTAGGAATGTCTGTGGTGGTTATTTACTAACTAACAATAGATCTAGACCATGCAAGTGCAGTGCAACGGCAGGTGAAGTTTGCTAGTGTGTTTACAGTTGAACCCGGTAAAACGGCCACAAGAGGGATGAACTGCTGCGGGGAAAACTAGCATTTAGATTGTAGAAAATTAATTGTTTTGTTTACTAAAAAGGCTCAATTAGCACCTGATGTTGACAATTGAAAAAAATACAGCATGGATAACCAGTGTCCGTAATATGAGATTAATTAATTAATTAATCCATCTATCCGTTGTTTCCCTTTTCTATCTGTCTGTTTGTCGGTGAGTCTGGATCTAAGCTAAAATGATTGATTGCCTAGATCATTTATAAATATATTCATGTTTCACTTAGTAAAACCTCACAATTACCGCTCAAGCAATGAATATCGTTTCATATTCACTAGTTCGACCAACCACAGTTCTAGAAACTCTATATTCAAGTCTAAAATAATACTAACATTAATCTATTGTTTCAAAATTTGGAGTGGGAGGGGGTAGGGGTTACACCTAAGTTGTCTTCTGAGTAACTGTATGTATTGCTATTTTTCACCTCTTTAATTCATGTATTTGTTATTAGTATCATTATTTATTATTATTTTAATATTTATTTTTAGATATGGTACGTTTTCGACTATCTCGATCATTGTCTTTCGTCTCCTTTGTTCATGCTGTTTCAAGCATTATGGTCCTTTTCTGTTTTAGTCCTGCAGGTACGTTAGTCGTCCTTAGCACTGTTTTAATTCTGTAATCGAGACAAAATATGCGATTGGTATTTATATATTAACTGTTATGAATCTCGCGTTCTGATTGGTTAGGGACGCTTGGTTTACGAAAGCACACAAATCGCGTGCGAATTTTTTATTTTGTCAATCCTATCCAAAATAACAGATTACGTACTTTGCATGGATTATATACTTTGCATTCTACGAAAAGATTTTAAAATGCGTGCTGTGTTGTGTTCAAAACGGAAAACTTATAGGAAATTGTGGATTTTTTTTTCTGTGAGGAGAGCGTAATTAGTTTAAATAATCCTGGGGTTATTGCGTCACCCTCGTTAAATGAATTGAAGTTTGATTATATTGTATCGTATTGGCAACGATATGAGAAGATAAATCTATCGCCCTGATTAACCTTGACTTGTATTTCTCTTATCCTAATAGTGAACGGCTTTATTCTCTCATGAGTTTCATTCAGTATCTGCATTGTCCTTTTCTGCCGAGTGGATCCGCATGCTACAATGTGATGATGAAATTTATCGTCAGTTAGAGGACAGACATAAAAAACTGATGTCAATTTTCTTTACAATAACAAAAACCATAAAAA